CCAGGGAGAAAAAAGATCTGAAGGGCTACTTATAAGATACTGAGGAAACAGCAGCTCTGAGCTCATGTCCAGATCCCACTAAATCTGTCTACTGTTCCTCCGAAGCCCACTCTACCCTGCAACATTATAGCCCTGTGCTAAAAGGAACCAAAGAGCTATCTTCACACAGTAGGGGTGCAGTTTCTGTATTACTACCCAAACCCACCAGCAGAAAATACGTAAAGTAAAACGTGTTTCCAGAAGAAATCAAACAAGATTACATAGGAAACATAATGCCTTCTAAAATGAAGGAATAAAAAATTTAAAAACTGCTCTCAAAATTAAGATCTCAGTAGTCTCCCCTCTCAACACAATGAATTCTTCAATATTTAAATGTAAAGCAAATACTACACCAACACAAAAGCCAGCCTTGATGATCAGAGCCCTCTCCACACTCCGTATGCCAAACAAATAATATCGCAATGTGTGCTATGATGTTTGGTTCTGGGAAAAACAAACAAAATGGAAGAAAAATCAGCTATCTCAAGCATCTCACTGAATCAGAGTGGGCAAGGAGGCCAAGTGGGACATAGGAAGAAGGAAAACAGCTCTGAGATGTTCCAGATTAGGAATATTAATATTTAAAGCTCTTCCTACGCCTTGGCCTGGAGCTCTTATCCCTTAGGCATCAAGTATCTCGATGCATCTGCCTAAATTATTGGGTTGTGGGAAAAGTCATGATGCAATTTTGCATGGAAAAACAGAAAAAAGAAAAGGCATGACTTTCTTTTCCCACAAGCCAACACACGGTCAATGACAAGAATGACGTGTCATGAAACTCCCGTGCTGTGAGGTGGGAAAGCGCTCCAAGAGAATATAGAAGTCATGCTCTACTCAACCAGCACAGCGAGGTATTCTCAGAGCCAAAGTTCTTGTGGGACAGAGAAGTTCCCTGAGTGAAAAGCTGCTGGATGCAGCTTAGACCAGCAGCATCTCCCTGCAATTCCGTCTCAATCAAACTTCAACCCAGGCTACATTCTGAAACCTAAGCAAAATCTGAAAATAAATTAAAACAGAGTTGCCCTTGTGTTCCTTTTTTTTTTTTGGAGAGGTTTTTGCTATAGGGCGCGTGCGCTCGCCAGAGAGAGAGAGACAGAGAGACAGAAAGCGAGAAATCACGCCCCAGGAGGGATGGCCACGCCGCAATCCCTTCTCCTCCATTCTCCTCTCGGGATCTTGGGTACGCATGCACACGCACCCGGCATGAGTTTAAGCCACCGGGTCCAGGACGCGAACCGCGGTCAACTACATGGGAGTCCAGCGACATAGCCATTACGCTAACTGCTGGTCCCGCCCTCGTGTTCTTAACACATGTACTGCCAAGCCTTGCTCAACTGAGTGGTTTTTTGAGTGGGGAAGGTGGTGGATTAGAAAGAAATGCAATAATAAACATACAAAGACACACAAGTATAGAAAAGCGAGAATTGGGTGGGCCAGCTTCTCTGATGGAGAAGTTGCGATCAGGAACCAGCCTCAGGTTTATTCGTTTAAAGGGCAGAAAATGGGGGAAGAAGAAATGGAATGTAAAGCCAGTTGCTTTAGGGTATAAATTGTCTGAAGATGTGAAAATGACTGGTGCCATGTAATGTCTCTGATCTTTTTGGGACAAAATCTGATAAACACACATAGCTTCCTTTAGCCTCATACTGCCCTGCAGTGTCAGGTAGTGGGTATTGACAGCAACAGGAAGATAACTCCCAACAACAGGCAGATAGCATTTTGCATGGAAATACTCTCATAGCCATTGCTAATGAAGCTCACAGTAGTGCATGCATGCGTTTAAACATACCAAAGGCCCTGGTGACTCTGCCAGAGCCCCCACCACTGCACATAACAGCACCAGAATACTGGGTAGGAGGCAACCGCACACTCCCATCCCGGGCACTGCAGGCACAGGGTCCTTTCACCCCTTCCAATCCCATTCTCGAGCATTTTCTCAGGTCCACAAAGAGGGGGTGAGGGCTCCAGCAGAAGCCCAGTGTGCGGCCCACAAGGGGGCCTTTCACCACCCACCCTCGCACACCGCCTGAGGATGAGGTCAGCCTCTGTTCTATAGGCCACCAAACAAGCTGACTTTGTGACCAGATGGCCAGCCCTTGTGAAGTCCTAAGAATGGAAAGGGATTGGTTTCACCCACAGGGACCTCGTTCCCCATGCAGAAAGCACAGCCAAATCGTTTTTTAATTTCAGGGAACATGCATGGAAACATTTCCGAGCATCTCTGTGAGGTATTAATTAGGGTTGTCCCTTCCCCCTCCTCCTCTCTCCCGTCCATCTCCATTCTGACCCTAAATCACCCTCACACTCACCACCACAGAGCTCCTTCAATGTCAGTACCCCTGGGCTTACTTCTCTTTCCATGTCAGTCTCTGTTTCCATGATGACAGTCGCCTGCTCAAGAATCTATAATGGCTTCCTATTCTCCAAAAGACTGTGCAAACACCTCACCTTAGTACTGAAATTCCTGCATGATTTGAGTTTTACCACCCCTCTCCTCTCTGCTTTGTCCAAGGTCTTTCTCCTCTCCAGCTATATAGTCTAATAGTTCAAAATACATTCAGCCCAGTTTCAAATTCCAGCTCCACCACTCATGACTGGAGACTTGAGGTGAGGTAGTGACCCAATGCTTCTGTTTCCGCATCTACAGAGTAGAGAAAAGGACCATACCCGCTGTACTGAGTACAGTAATGGTAAAATGAGAAGATGCAAGTAAAATCAGAACAAACCCGGCAGATGGTATCACCCAGTAAATATTAGCTGCCCAAGTATTTACCGTTAGTCAGACAAGTCACTTCTTCCATGACGCCTTCTGTAGCAACAGCAGTCAACATCTGCTGTTTCTTAACTGTTCTACAAGCTGAAAGCAAACAGCCTGGCTGGAACTGGTAGCGGCTGTTTGATCATCACGTACTTGGATGGTGATGCAGTATTTACATTATTTTGAAATTCATACCCTGAAACACACATAGATGGCTCCCAATTGTCTCCATCTCCAGTTTCTGATGAGTTCACCGCTAAGAGATATTGTACATTTGCATAAATATGGATTTTCTTTCTTGGACCCAAAGTTTAATTCTACCAAGACTAAAAACTTAAGAGCAGGGATCACTCTGTAGACATCTGGTGCACACTCCAGAGTTCCCACCACTGGACCATCGTGCTCATTAAAGTTTCTTTCTCCCATGGGGGAGGGCATAGGGAGGTCTTCCCTTCACACCACAATCCATGCGCAGCCCCTGCCGTCTTTATCCCTTCCTCTCCCTCTCCCTCCCTCTTTCTCTCTCTCTCACACACATACTCACCTCCCACCCTGAGCATATTCAAGGAGGTCCCGGTATATGAACCCAGTATCTTCCCTATGGGAGTCTAATTGTGTTACCACTACACCACCACCTAGCTCAACGAATAATATTCTAAAAGATTCTGACAGGACTTAACACTATATTCATGACCACATAATCACACTTATAAAACCATTACCCAACAGACAGGTTCAAAGGGTTTACTTTAACTTTTGAATAGGAATATGTCAAGTGCTTTTAAGAAAATGGTTGTTCAGAAGAACTTGAGTGTATTTAAAATAGTCTTCGTTTCAACATAAGTTTGAAAAGAACACCTCCTCAGGAAGTGCTCCTGGCCTCCCCCACCTCTCTACTGGTTCCACCCAGGAAGTGGCAGGGCCAAAGACAGTGGGGAAACAGGGTTTGGTCAGTGGCCTTTCC